GCATAACATGGTCTTTTTTACACGCCTCCACCACTTGGCTTACCCATACATGCGGTGCGTAGATAGTACCCGTTTTTTCGCTTTGCCCATTCTTCTGCTCGCTTGTTGCTGGCTGCGTATTTTTATCATCCACCAAAATTGCCAATGCCAAACACAAACACGTATCCACTTTGGCTGGAGGAAGGCGCTTTGCCAGCAAAGTGCGCAAAGACTGCGCTTCGCCCCATTTGCGTAGTGCTGTATAGACCAAGGCTTGCACTGCTGGTCGCATTTGGCTGGGTGTTTGTTGTATCGCCTCTGATATACTCCCACCCGAATGCAGATGTTGCAAAACGCAAACAGCCCCCAGGATTTGCTGCCAAAGAGGCAAACTCTGGGGGCTGTGCGAGGTCATGCGAAATTAGTCAGTCGCAGCGTCAGCTTCGCTTTGCGCCAAGGCTATTCGCGCCTGCTCCAGCTCTTGCTCTTCAGCATAGGCGATTGCTTGGCGTTCGCTCTCGTCCATCGCTTCTTTGGCTTTACGCGCTTGGTGATAGGCCTGCCCTGTACCTGCTGGTATAAGGCGACCAACAATCACGTTTTCCTTGAGACCACGCAATGGATCTTTTTTACCCATGATGGATGCTTCGGTAAGCACCCGTGTGGTTTCTTGGAAGGAAGCTGCGCTAATAAAGCTATCGGTAGACAAAGATGCTTTGGTAATGCCCAAAAGCATATTGGTATAAGTAGCAGGAACTTTGCCCTCAGCCAACAAGGCATCATTGGTGTCCAATATGGCAGCTCGTTCCACTTGCTCGCCTGCAATATAGCTGGAATCGCCAGGATTATCCACAACCACACGGCGCAGCATTTGACGTACTATCACTTCAATATGCTTATCGTTAATCTTCACCCCTTGCAAACGGTACACATCTTGCACTTCGTCCACAATGTAGCGTGACAGTTCTTCTATACCCAACAAGCGCAAAATATCTTGCGGATCAGCAGGACCATCTACTATGAGCTCGCC